CAAAAACCTTACAAGAGACATTTTAGAATTTAGGTTTGCATTTTTTCTTTCTTTTGCATTCATGTAGTGCATCCAAATGTAATAAATTCTTTGGTTAAAACAAGAAAATCTTTGATTAAATCATGCAACTAGCCTTGGCTAGGTCAAAGGGGTGCCTTGGATTTTATCCTTGCCTTCCCCTTTGTCAAATGTGACTCCCGAACCTTTTTTCTTTGGTTCACGTGGACTAGAAGTCGTTTAAAAGGGGTTTCTTACTACTTTTTCCTATTTTTTCTTTAAAAATTCATTTTTTAGGTGACTTGGTACACCTTAACTCATTACCAAGTGGCGACTCCCATTTTTTCAAAAAACCCTTTTTAAACTATAATTTTGGGTCAAATCGTCGCATTTTCAAACCCCCATTTAGACCCATTTTTCTTTTAAATCACAATTCATTTTCCAATCACAAGTTGAATCAAAAATACATTTTTAAACCATTTATTTATTTTATCAAAAAATGGGGCGCGACAGTTGGCGACTCCACTGGGGACTTTTGAGAGTCCGAGCAAATTTGATTTAATCAACCTTTTCTTCTTTTAACCTTTTCATATATCACATTTGGGTGTTTTAGGGTTGCATTTTTTCCTTTTTTAGGATTTTTTGCATTTCTCGCGTCCCAAACTACTCCCTCGCTCATGAATGTATGATTGGTTGATTGGATGTTTACTTACTTATCTCACGCTTGCATTGCATTTGGGGGGGGTGTGTCACCTTTAGAGCCTCGCGTGGTTCTCAACCCCTTCCCTCAAAATAAGGAGCACTTCATACGTGCACGTTTATTTATTGTTATCCCATTTTATTTTATTTTTCGTGGGCGTTTCCCACACCGCCTTGTAGGATTAGGATCGATCGCCTTGGGTAGGCGGATGGTGTGCGCTGCGCCCATAGCGCTACCTAAGGGATCACTCGAGCCACCGATCGAAGGCTTTGGGAGTGATGACCCTTTGCCTTTAGGTCTGAAGGCTTGGGAGCCGAAGCCTTATCGAGTCTAGTTGCATTAGTAAGCCTTAGCCTCATGCATCCATGTTAGAATTTTCCTAGGTTAGAGTCGGCCTTACCCTATTAAGCACATTAGGCACGAGGGAAGGGGTTTCCACCCCTTTTACTTGTTTTTATTTGTATTTCTTTTCTTAATTGCTCCCAATGTGTTATGTGTACTATCAATTGCACTAACCATTCTTTTTGTTTTCTTGGCTTGCATCCATATGCCTTAGTAATAAGAGGCCTCTTTGGCACTCTTTTAGCCACTAGATAACTCGCATGTTTAAATTTCAGTTATTGCACTTAATTTTCAATAAGTACATTTCACTTTAGACCTTTTCCCCTCGATGCATTATTTATGTCCTTTAGGCCATATTTGTCACATATTTACACCGCTTTAATAAACTGGCATCATGCATTAAACCCTAGAAAGGGAATGCCACTTAGGGAATCCCGTGGTTAGGAATAAGCCACCCCATGTCTTGGATATATAATCCAATGAGACTTGCACGTTTACCTTTCTCGTACCATCCGAAGGAGTAGTGCACAAGGTAAGGTAAGGATTCGATTTTTTTGAAGAAAATAAAGCAACTTTTGCACGTTAGAATATGAGCGTCTGATAATCACTTTTTGGCCATTTTTAAACCTAATTGGTAAAAATCCCTTGCATAAAGGACATTAATTTGAAGAAATTCACAAATGATTCCTCCTGTTGAGACGATGAATAAATTGAGGCCAAATCGTGATTTTAGAAGGCTTATAGACTAATTTTCTGAAGCCACCAATGGCCGGCCGATTCAATCGATCCATTTTGTCAATTCATAATCAATTTTGAATAAATCGTCAATTCATTTGACCAATTTACCCTTTTTAGGGTCATTTGACCAATTTACCCTTTTTAGGGTCATCCGATCAATTTTGAATAAATCGTCAATTCATTTGACCAATTTACCCTTTTTAGGGTCATCTGGTCGATTTTTGAAAAATCATCTATTCATTTGACCAATTTACCCTTTTTAGGGTCATCCGGTCGATTTTTGAAGTTCATTCAATTCATTTGACCAATTTACCCTTTTAGGGTGATTTGGTCGATTTTTGCATAAATCATCAATCTCTCTTTCATTCATTTGGCCCATTCACCCATTTTTAGGGCAATCGAATCGATTTTGAATAAATCAAGTTTCCTTCATTTGACCAATCTACCCTTTTTAGGGTGATTCGATCAAATTTTGAATAAATCAAATTTCATTTAATTCATTTGACCAATTTATCCTTTTTAGGGTCATCCGGTCGATTTTTGAATAAATCTTCGTTTCATTTGGCCGATTCACTCATTTTTAGGGCAATCTAGTCGATTTTTGAATAAATCACTAATTTCATTCAATTCATTTGATTAGTTAGGGCATTTTTTGTCGATAAGTCATCAAGTTCGTCCGATTCATTGGACCAGTTTACCCTTTTAGGGCGATCTGGTCAATTTTGAATAAACTCTCGATTTCATTCAATTCATTTGACCAATTTCATTTTTGAATAAAATTCTCAATTTCATTCGATCAAGTTCTTTTTTTAGGATGATTTGGTCCATTTGTCCATTTTGAGTAAGTTATTAAATTCCACTCAATTCATTTGACCCGTTTCCCTTTTTAGGATAATCCGGTCGATTTTAAATAAATGGTCAATGTCATTTCAAACCCATTTGACCAATCAGGGTTTCAGTGTCGAATTTCAAATTGAGAAATCTAGTCGATTTTGAGAAAAAACATCCATTGCATCCAGCCATTTGATCAGTTGGAGTTTTGACCCGTGCTTCATTGAGAAAATTTGTCAACGAATTCCAATCTCTTCGATAGGAAGTTCGTCAAGGTCAAACCCGTATGTTTTTTGCAAGTTCTTGTATCGACCAAAAGTGATCAATCCCTTCGGACGAGGTTCTCATTTTGACCAACGTCTCTTCTCATCCCAATGGGCCAAATTTTTTCAAATTATTTTTCACTCCATGAGTTGATCGGATCCATCAGGTATTGTATAGTGCCTACTCTAGCGGATTGCATTTTCATGCTAGGCCTACCCTTGGCATAAAAAGGGTTCCCCCATAGGACATGCATACCGATTTTGCAGTTTTGCCTACTAACTCGGGGTATTTTTCTTTTGTTTTCCCCCTCCCCTGCATTCATAAAAATGTTTCAATAAGACGAAAATATTCTTCTATATCTGATGGTAATTTTAATCCAATAAAGTTTGAGGATTACAAGTGTTATTTGATTCTTGGGCAGATCCTACAATAAAAACATAAATGATCCATTTGGAAGCTCTACGCTAAAGCCTCTGAGAGATGTTGTAATTATTTTCCAAAGGGAAATTCTGTTTATTTGATTTGTTTATAAAATTTTGTTCCAAAAGAAAAGGAGACGATAAATTCTCTTCTCATTTGTATCATAATTGAACGAGAAATTTTGTTTCAAATTGTTTTTCAGCAATAAAATTTTTGGACAATTATTGTTTTGTGTATATTTATGTACATTTCATTCTTTATTCTTACTCATTGGAGATTTCATGATGAATTTTGAAAAATAAAACTAAATTGAGATTTTTTCAACCTCCAGCCTGAAAATTCACAAGTGTATGCTTCCTAAAATCTTTACACTGGCGATCCGAGCCATACAATAAGAGTGCTCAGGAAAAGAGGTGAATGGTCACTCAAAAGGCCCAATGAGATACCCTCACTTAACCCCAAAATAAAATCAGTCACATTGATGGATAAATTGCAAATTGGGGCTATCCTTGCTTGAGAAATGCCTATTGGTTTAACCAGATTCAATTCACATCTAAGTGAAAGCAGAAATGTGCATTATCCTTGTTTGTTTTGAAAATTTGGAATGATACTTCAAGCATTCTTTTCTCTACCTATACACATTTTATCATTTGATCTCCCATTTGAGCCTTTGAAAGAATAATTTCGTTTCAAATAAGAGCCCTAATGATCACTACCCTATATTGGAAAATTTTCAAATATCAAAAAGGGGAATGGATTTTCAATGACCATTTCACTACTTTGGTTGTCATGAGGTGTAAGAATGATACTTTGGCCGTCATTTCTACAACCTAAACACTGATCATCCCTTGCATCCTCATTTGAGCTAAAAATTGGTGGTTCTTTTCGAGTGCACATATGATTGCACCCTACATTGGGGAAGGAGATTGGGGAATTTTGAAAAAAAAAAAAAAAAGAAAGAGAAAGAAGAGTTTTGTCCACGTGGATCGCCTATGTTTCACAAATATGGATGAACAAGGGTCTTCCTCAGTCAATCACACTAAATTCTAGCAGGTCCAAGGTACAGAAGTTTATGATGTAACTGAGATAGAGATCATAGGCCATCTGCTCGAAGTTCATCAAATGCAATTTTAACCACAAAAGAAAGCAGTAGGTACCCACTTCATCTCAGTTTTGGTCAAGAAAATTGCTGGAGTAACGTCAATCAACCTCTGTACCTCCAAAGGAAGAGAATTTGAATTGCACTCTCGAAACTAGCAATGCCCAATTTGCACCCAACTAGACAGTTAAATATCTTTGTCAGTGAGATTTAACTTTCTGGTGAGTTCATTACTATAGTTTCATCAAAATATCTTTGTTGCAAAAATTTTGCGGGCTGCTATCTTTACAATTCATGCAAAATAATAAAGGTTTTTTATAACCCATCAGCTGTTTGATAAATTGCCTCTTTCAAACTAAGTTCAAAATTCGTTCAACGCCTTGGCTGCTAGTTCATGCCTCCAAGTATAGTCATCAGCCCATCATCTCTACCTCGTTCAAACACTAGCAATCATCATCTTCATGATAATAATTTTTTTCTAGCCAAAGGTGAAATCCATTCCGGTTCAATAGAAAAAAGTTCTACATTCTTTAAGGATTTTGTGCTAAGGTTTCCAAGGAGCGGCTTGGGTAGTGGTGCGGCAGTCCATGGCTGCCATCTGCCCACCTGATGGAGGGTAGCCTGCCCCTCCTACCTTTCAACGCAAATCCTTTTCAGAGTTGTTCACGAAGAATTCACAGCAGCCGACGCTATCCTTTGCGGCACAGGAGGCTACACACAAAGGGGAACCTGCGTTGATTTTCCCACAGGCAGCGGTCGAAGCTCTAGCCAGTCCATTTCGTTTCGCATTGATTGGGAAATTCTCTAGACGTAGACCGAAGTTGGAGGAGGTGAGGAAGTTCATTGCATCGCTGGATTTACGTGAGAACCCGGTGGTGGGCTTGTTGGACGTAAGACATGTGTTAATTCAGTTGAACAATGAAGCTGATTTCCATCGTGTATGGTTTAGGAGGATCTGGTATGTGTCTTCCTTCCCCATGAGAGTATTCAAATGGACCACGGACTTCCATGTTGACAGGGAATCGTCGGTGGTTCCGCTCTGGCTTCAATTACCAAAACTCCCGCTGCACTTTTTCAATAAGGAGGTGATTTTCCAGATTGCGTCTATGGTAGGTAACCCTTTGTTAGTTGATGCGGCTACCCTTGCAGTGTCACGGCCAAGTGTTGCACGGGTGTGTGTTGAGATGGATTTGTTGCGTTCGACACCGTCGCGGGTTTGGATTGGCAATGGAAATCACGCTGGTTTTTGGCAAGAGCTGGTGGTGGAGAACCTTCCAAGGTACTGCTCACATTGTTTCCGCCAAGGTCACGATGTGGAGACTTGTCATGTTTTAAAGCCCGAGTTGCGAGGAGCATCTGGTCACCATACCAAGACTACTGGAACAACACAACTACGGTTGGCAGAGACGTCGAATACAGACATGCCTGATGGCCCTTTGGAGGGTAATGGAGAAAGGCCATCGGTATTGATACAAGATGCGGCAGTAATTGATGGGGCAAAGGGAGAAGTTAATGAGACTGTGACTGGCAAAGCGCTAGTTGCTCACGATCAGTTAATAGGTGGTACGCCTCACGAAGCTGAGCAAGGTGACCAGGTGCAGCAGTCCTGTGCTACTATACCAGCGCAGCAGGAGAGGAAAATGGAGGAGAATTATGGGACGGTGGCGGTAGAAGGTATCGAGGTGGTGCTGCCACATGACAAAGGAGAGGAACGTTCTGAGGATGTGGGGAGTGGGTTGCCCGCGAGGGTGGTCGTACGTTCTGCTGAGGGGCAAGTTGAAGACATACAAGATACTCAACGAAGGGACGGTACCCTCTCCCCTAGGGGCAAGGATCTTATCCGACAAGAAGAGTCATCACTAGAGACCGGGCATATAGACACGGGGGGTACCCTGGAACTAGAAGAAGTTGTTCGTAAGGAGCGAATGGATGCAAGGTCGCGTGGTCTCCGGGTTGGTCTCCCGTCAGATAGAACACTACGCTCCATGGTTAGTTCTTCAACAAATTCTTTTTCTGTCCTTTCTGATGATTAAGTTACTTTTTTGGAATATAAGAGGGGTAGCTCGTGCTCCTAATTTAAGGCGGTTAAGGAAACTTATTAAATTGTATGATCTTCAATTGGTGGTTGTTGTTGAACCTAAGTTGAGGGTGGAGTCAATTACTGATATTAGAATTAAATTGGGGATGGATTGTTGCATGTTCAATCATTGGGGTTCTGTTTGGATTTTCTACCGGTCATTGTTTACGTGTCAGATTACAGGGGAGTCTCCCCAACATATAACTATTAGAGTACAATCTCATCTTTTCCAAGACTCCATTATTTTGTCTTGTATACACGCGAAGTGTACGCAGCAGGACAGAGAGGATTTGTGGAATGCACTTTTGCAGGATAAACCCGCCTTCAATCCTTGGTTTTTGGTGGGGGATTTCAATGTGGTCACAAATACAGAGGAGAAGAGGGGTGGATTGCCATTTAGACCGTCGGAGGGATCAGACTTTCTGAATTTTATGGCGCTAGCTGGTGTCAGTGATGCGGGATTCTCTGGGTCAAGGTTTACATGGTGTAATAATCGTTCGGGAACGGCGCGGATCTGGAAGCGTCTGGATCGCTTACTTCTGTGTGGGAGTGCAATGGAGCTACCGTACCAATTCATGGTGCAACATTTAGGCCGTGACCCGTCGGATCATGCTCCCTTGTTGCTATCGGTGGATACGAGGCTAGACAATAAACCCAAGCCGTTTCGTTTCTTAAACATCTGGACCACTCATCCTGATTTTCTGGGGGTTATCAAGGACTGTTGGGTTCATCCAGTCAATGGCTCTCCTTTGCAAGTATTGGCATCGAAGTTGAGGAATGTTAAAAATGCCCTCAAGCAGTGGTCTAGGACGACATTCGGGGATATTTTTGAAGGGGTACGTAGTGCAGAGCGTGTGGTAACCGAGTCTGAGACAGCATACGACCTCGATCCTACTGAGCAGCGACGGAGCGAGTTACATCATGCTCGGGCTCGATTGCGCCGAGCGCTTGTAGTTGAGGAGGGTTTTTGGAGACAAAAGGCGCGGGTTAAGTGGCTTTCGGACGGAGATAGGAACACCAAATATTTCCACTCCTTGGTTACGGAAAGGAGACGTAGGGCAGTAATTCATCGAGTCAGGGGTACTGCTGGAGAGTGGATCGAGGGGGAATGCCAAATTGGGGAGGCAGCGGTGGGTTTCTTTAAGGAACTTTTCACGGCAGAGGGGGATCTTCCCTCCCTTACCGGTCTGGAGATCATACCTAAACTGATAACAGACCAGGAAAACTCACGGTTAACGGACATTCCATCTCTTACAGAAGTTAAAGACATAGTCTTTGCTATGGATGGAGAGAGCGCAGCCGGCCCGGACGGGTTTACAGGGAAATTCTTTACCTTTGCTTGGGAGGTAGTGGCATCGGATTTATACCGGGCGGTTGTCAGCTTTTTCTGCGGTGCTGAACTACCTAGGAGTATCACGGCTACCTCAATTGTGTTGCTGCCAAAAGTGGAGAACCCCCAAGATTTTAAGCATTTTCGTCCAATCAGTCTGTGCAACTTTACTAACAAAATCATCTCCAAGCTGTTATCGGCAAGGTTGGCGATGATATTACCCCGGATTATATCTCCACAGCAAAGCGGGTTTGTCCAAGGGAGGCAGATTACAGATAATTTCTTGTTAGCTCAGGAGTTAGTAGCCGATATCGGGAAATCAAATCGGGGTGGCAATGTGGTCATCAAGTTAGACATGATGAAGGCTTATGATAAAGTCTCATGGCCCTTTCTCCTACAGGTGCTACGATATTTCGGATTCAGTGAGACCTGGATAGACATGATTTGGCGCTTAATATCGAATGTGTGGTTCTCGGTACTTGTTAATGGTGGTTCAAACGGCTTTTTCAGATCTTCACGGGGTTTACGGCAAGGGGATCCAATTTCACCAGCCTTATTCGTTATCGGAGCTGAGGTGCTGTCTAGAACCCTCAACACGCTACCCACACAAAGAGGATTTACTCCGTTCAAAGTTCCTCCTCATTGTTCTATAATTACGCATTTGGCATTCGCCGATGACGTGATTATCTTTTCCAGTGGGGCCAAGTCATCCCTACGTCTGATTAAACGGGTTTTGGATGATTATAATGAGGCATCAGGTCAGCGAATCAACCCTCAGAAGAGTTGTTTCCTTACTCATCCACGGGCACCATCTCAGAGGGCAACGGTTGTTAACCAGATACTAGGGTATAATAAACGCGACTTTCCAATACGGTACCTTGGTTGTCCCTTGTATACCGGAAGGAGCAAGAAGGTTTACTATACGGATATATACAATGTGGTGGCGAATCGGATTTTGAGTTGGAAAAACCAGATTTTATCGCTAGGAGGCAGGGTGGTGTTGATTCAGAGCGTGTTATCCTCTATGCCAATTCACTTGCTGGCAGCCGCGTCCCCTCCAAAAGGGATGTTGATGGTCATAGAGAAATTGTTCGCCAAGTTCTTGTGGGGATCTTCGAATTTCGGGGATAAATTCCATTGGATACGTTGGGCAGATTTGTGTCGGCCGAAGGATGAAGGGGGTGTAGGCCTGCGGGGTTTGAAACAGGTCTACGACTCATTTTCCATTAAACTCTGGTGGAAATTTCGACAACAACAATCATTATGGGCAAAGTTTATGTCCCAGAAGTATTGTGCAGGTCATCACCCTTGTCTTGCTGATATTGGGCATCCGGGATCCCAAGTTTGGCAGAGGATGGTCACAATGCAGCGTTTTGGGGAGGATAATATTAGCTGGGTAGTTCGGGAGGGGGCTTTGGACTTTTGGCATGATAATTGGATGGGGTCAGGTGCGCTTTGTGACAAGGTTGAGGTCTTCCATGATCATTCGGTGGTTGATTTTGTAGATCGGCGGGCTTGGAATGTGGACATGCTCCATCAATTCTTGGATGGAGAATTGGTTACGCAGGTTTTGGAGATTGACCCTCCTACCGATAGGGGAAATGATACAATGGTATGGGCATTGACGAACTCGGGTGTTTTTTCCACTGCATCGGCTTACTCATTGATCCGTCAATCCAATGACAATTCTTGGCTTTTTGGTCGTATATGGCAGCAGGGTCTTCCAGTCAAGGTTTCTTTCTTTATGCTGCGACTACTACAGGGGAGGCTCCCTCTTATGGATCGCCTAAAGAGGTTTGGGGTTTGTGGCCCATCTAGATGCTTGTGTTGTCAGAATCCCCAGGAGGAGGATTTGAATCATGTGTTTTGCTCAGGAGAAGGGGCACGATTGGTCTGGCGACACTTCGAGAGTACTGCTGGTGAGTTTAGTGGGGTGCATACGGTGCGTCATATGGTGTGGTCTTGTTGGTTAAGGAGGGGGACTAATGATCGTGTAAAGTTTTTGCATAATATACTTCCTTCGGTGGTATGCTGGGTTTTATGGAAGGCTAGGAATGAAGGGGTGTTTGAAGGTCGGAAGATGAGGATCAGGCCTACGGTGAATCGGATTGTTCAGTTTCTGCATGATTTCCTTCAGTCACGGTTCCCGGGGGTGCAGCCTTCTGCCCCTACATGGGAAGGGTTGCTTCTCGAATTAGGTAGTCATCAAAGGCGGATGGTTATTAGGCCAGTTTACTGGGTAACTCCACGTAGAGGCTATAAGTTGAATTCAGATGGATGTTCTCGGGGGAACCCAGGAAGGAGTGGGGGGGGTGGGCTTGTGCGGGATAGTCGAGGAAATTTTGTATTCGGCTACGCGGAGCCCTTCGGGGTGATAACCAGCATGCAGGCGGAACTTCGAGCGTTGCTATGGGGCGTTAGACATTGTGTGATTCGAGGGTGCTTGGAGTTACACTTAGAGGCGGATTCTCTCACCCTGGTTCACATTGTTCAAGGGACTAGTGCTTGTCCTTGGCGTTTACAGAGAGATCTGGATGAGTTGATGATGTTCAAGCAATATTTCACATCGATCACACACTGCTACAGGGAAGCAAACGCACCTGCAGATCATTTGGCAAATTTTGGTGCTGATTCTAGTGCAGGTCATGTGTTTAATACATTCTCAGAATTGCCGCAATTGGTTAGGGGGGCTATTAGATTAGATCGATTAGGATTTCCTACGTTTCGTACACGGTGTCTGGCATGAATTGGAATAAGAAGCAGAAAAGGCCAATGAAGGTGAAAATGGCGGTTAGAAGGACATCAAGGGAGGAAGATTGACTGCTAAAATCTTCAAAGATCATCCTTCAGATTCACTGGAAGACATCCTGATATGGAAAAATGAAGATTTAATCTTAATTTCAGTTTTTAAATGCTTAAACTTTCACTAGCTTGTAAATTTATTGTCAAATTGTGGTTTGATGGCAGGGAGTTTCGTCCTTTTTTAAGGGGAAACTCTGCCGAAATTTTTATAAAATAATAAAATTTCAATTAAAAAAAAAAAAAAAAAAGGGTCTTCCTCAGTCAGTTAATTCAGATACATGCCAGAAATTTCGCATTGATGAAAATTTCCTTTCAGAGTTATTGTAAGGAACGGAATACAAGTCAGGCCATCTTCTTTTCCGATCAAGCATTCTATCCCTAGTTATCCCTTTTGAGCTTTCAGAATAAAATACTTCATTTGGCAACCCCTGAGAATCGCAAACCCACATTGGGGCAAGTTTGAGTTGAAAAGGGAAGTTTCAAGAAGTGAAAAGTGACAATGCAACAAAATCAAAAGGAAAAGAGAAAAGAGAACCTCAGTTCAAAAATAAACTGGGGCAAATTTTGTGAAAGTTCAAAAATGGCAGAAAGCCGAAAAATCGAAAAAAAAAAGAGAAAACGAAAGAGAAAAAGCCTCAATTGAGCATAAACTGGGGCAAAATTCTGATTTAACCCTAAAATAGGGTTGGCGTAACAATGCGATCTTAGATTCATTAAACCACTTTTGAAATCCGCTTTCAAGCCTTAACTTTTCTGAGCACCTCACCTGACCCCATTACAAAAGCCGAAAGTCCTGACTTCTGTTCTTTGCAATGACCTTGTCAAGAAAATTTCTGATGCCGAAAAATTTTAGCTGTATTTCTGAATTGCTTGGGTATGGGGTTGACGCTTCTCACCATGTGAAAACCCACCAAGTTGAGGGAAAGGGAAAAGAGGCAAAAAAGCAAAGCAAGAAAAGTAAATGCAAGGAAAATGCAAAAAGACTTGACGCTGAAGTCCCTGGGGAATGATGTGAAAATCCAGACAAAGTCTGAAATCTTTTGAGTTCAAAATAGGGGCAATTTTGGGAAAATGCGATCTTCGGTGCTATGTCCTTGAAAGTTTTATTCTTTAGCTATCGTTTTCAAGCCACATTACAAGCTAATAAAGTCCATCGTTGACTTATTCCTTCATGACAACCCAAAGTGAGGATTATGCTCATAAAAATCCATCGATCACTCATAATCATAAGGGTATAACCAATTTTCGCATGTTTAGCTATCGTTTCTACCCATTTGTTGCGAGCTTAAAGCTCATATGTTGACTCAATTTTCTCAAGAAATAAGAATGGACAAACTATTTGCTTTCACTAAAATGTGATATTAAATGGGTTAGATACGATTTGGGCACAAGAACCAAACAAATCTTGACTTCTCATTTCTTTTAACCCCTTCAAAAATCAGAAATAAGATCATTGGATTGGTCTTGAAAGATGAGCCAACAAGAAATGGTGACCCATCACCCAAAGCATTGATGCTAAAGTGGGGAAGAAATCTTTCGTAATTTGACATTATTTTGAGAAATTCATCATGAAATTTCCTGTATGAGTTAAGCAAGACATTCAATTTCATTCACATTGTATAGGAAACACAGTTTCTTACTTGGAAGGGCATCCAAATCAATTTTTGCAATCAAATGGGCCCACACTGGGGCAAAATTTTTATTTGCAAGATTGCGTAAAATAAACCCACACTGGGGCAAATTTTTTCAGTCACACTACTCTTTCTATGAATAGTAGTTGCAATTTTTTGAAATTCAAGTGCATGTCATAGTGAGCCCCTGTGCAGGTATTCATAGTTGAAATCGACGAAAAAGCATCTGGTGATGTGGGAGGCCGATGCCGAAGAAAGAGAAGAAAGAAGGGAAAAGGGCCCTACACTGGGGGAAATTATTTTGAAAAAGATTCTCTCGAAAAATTAGAAAAATTCAAAAAAAATTCAAAAGTCAAAAATCAAGTTCAAATTCTTGTTTCTTGGAAAATCAAATTCAATTTCTTGACCGCTTTTTATCTTCGGCAGGACCGGGTTTTATCCCGCTGACCGCTTATTTCGGCAGGACCGGGTTTTATCCCGCTGACCGCTTTTCCACATGGACTATCAATAAAAAAATTTGACCTTTTGAGCTGGATATTGAATCCAGAATCAAATTAAATGCATGCCTTCATCCAGCATTCAATTTTTAGGAAGAAGCAGATCTTCTGGATCAATCGGTGTCGCAGTTTCACTTTTAATTTCTTTAGTCAGGGGCTCACCATAACGGGATGTAAAGGAATCTTCGAGAAATGATAGTCATCAAGGTTTTTCCCATGTGTTCCAATGTTGAATTAATATCCTGAAGAACTTTCCTTTTAATCTCTATTGATGTGCAGTGTCGATGTGCAACTTCATTTATAATCAGAAGATAGCTGCTCTTCAAATGCTTGCCAAAGATGTTTGGATTTTTTGGAGAACAATAAAACAGAAGCATTGCAAATAAAGACCTTAACAAATATGGCATCTGGAAATGAGCAGCTTCCTGTAATGCTTCTTCTATATAGGAATCAGATTCCAATAATCCTAACTGCAAACAGGCTTCTCTAAGAGAGCCAGTTTTGTGACCTCTAACCATAAGTAAGTCATCAAATGACGTTGGTTCCTGAATGTGTGAGTAAAAGTCTTATGTAGTACCTTTCTCCTTTCCAGGCTCGACAGTTACCAGTCTCCCTATGACCTTTCTACACTTCTCTCTGACCATGTCTTTATTTTTGGAGTCCATAAAAAATGTTGCAGAAAATCTTTATATAAGCACTTCAAATTCTGAGCTGTAGCATTTGTTTTGTTCATTCTGAAAAACTCAGTCAACATAGTCTTTGAAAAATCAATTTTCCACCAGAAGAAAGAACAGAAGAATGTGGGGAAGACGTGCAAGGACTGCGAAGAGACAGTAATTTTTGAATGGGAGCAGCCTCAGAATGTCGAGAAAAAGGGAAAAAGAAGCGGGGATCAAGCAATACAGTAAAAAATAAGCGGAAAGAAAGACGAACGAAGGAGAGAGGAGAGGAAAATCAAGGCGGGAAAGATAAAATTCGGAGTGGAGACAACACCAATATGTGGCGGAGTAAAAAAAGAAAGAAACAGGTTAGAGCCGGTAGAGAGGAGCCTGATGAGCGAGTAGAGAGTAGCTGACCACCTCAATCGAACATCTGTAGAAAATCACAGTAGAATTAAACGGTAGGAAGGAAAGACGGGACGACGAACAAAGGGGAGGAAGAATCAGGTGCGACAGACACAGTTAACAACCAATCAATTCGCGCCATGTCACCATCGTGCCAATCCCGTCTCGCCACGTGGAGGACGACGATACCTACGTGGCAAGGGGGCTTCCACACCCACTGGATCTTCAGTTCAGCAGTTTGACATTTTACTGGAATGAGCCTTACTATGGCATTTGAAATCGGATACTTTTTATAAACTTGAAGGCCAGGGCTGATCTTGGAATGTCATTATTGAACATAATCCCTTCAATCTCCGATCCCTATCCACAAGGAAAATATTCACGAAATAATCAATTATGCATGCATTGACCTGTAGATAAAAACAGAAGATGCCTTAATTATATGAAAAATATAAGAACCATATTAATGCGCTTTCTTTTAGCGATGAAATGTTTAATCATGTAGTATGAAGAAGTATATATCATGGCAGCAGGGAGAAGACCTCTGAATCCAACAAAATAAACTTTCATTTTTTTATTGGCGGCGTGCCGGCGTTGCTGATCCAGTTATCTGCTGTTTTTCTTGCACGGTGACTTTGCAGGTCCTGCCTTCAGAGCCTGGTAGGACGTCTTTGACTGGGATAACATGTTCCATTCTGTAAATTTTTAGAAAACAGAAATAGAATGGGAAATTGACAACAGCATTTGATTCTTCAAATCATAAACTAATAAGTATTCAACGGTACGGGTAATCAGACCTCATATATCATGTGTTGGTCAAGCAAAATATATCATGAAAGACAACATTTCTTGTTTTACAATCAACTTTGATGTCATCAGAAGTACCCGGAGCAATTAAAGCTTTAACTGCGGAAGAATTCCTAACTCTAGAGAGAGCAACATAAAGCTGGCCGTGAGAAAAGACAGGTTCACTGAGATAAATTTCAACATAGTCAAGAGTCTGACCCTGAGGTTTATTGATTGTCATTGCAAAGCATAAACGGACGTGAAACTGTGTCCGTATAAATGGAATACCATTCTTTTCGCTATCAAAAGTCCGCAAAGGAATTTTTGGAATGATGACTTTTTCCCTTTATGAGGACCAAGAAAATTTCCGCAGTAATTGTGAGTTCACCCAATTCTCTACAGATTATCCGTGTGCTTGCAAAGACCATCCGTTGGATTCACATTTCTTAGAAGCATTATAGACAGTTTTCTTTGCGTAAAAGTTCATGAGGAGGCAGACCTTTTGGGTTAAAAGAATTTAGAAAATCCTTATAATCTGTCTGATTTCTCATATCAATAGTTCTATCACAACTTCTATATCTGTGAAGATTTTTCAAAAATTTTACAATCATCGTCCTATTAATTTCATCCACTGAACTATTTTTTGGACAAAGTACACATCTATTTATCATTCGATAAGGATTACAAGAGTACAGATTTAAATCAGAAAGACGATCCCAAATAACCTGGAAGAATTTACATGTAATTAGGACAAATAGTCAAAAACACACGGACGGAATGAACTACTTATAATGCACTATATGATTATAACCTGTCAAGCGACTCTTCTTTGTTATGATGAGAAATAACCATATGAGGTGTAAGGACATCTGACCATGTTCATCAACAAGTTCAACATCTTCTCCTACTCTAATAAAAAAAGCTGAAAATACTGGATCTAAGGCAGCACTCATATTTGTTGCCAGT